TTTTTTCCCCCCTATTATCTTACTTTTTTTGTTTATGTTCTTAGGTTTTTAGATTTTTCATATTTAAGTAGCATATTCAAGTCCCTTTACTTCCTACCATTTGTCTTCATTATTATATTTAATCCAGCTTTTACAGTTGATATTATAGGTCAAAGGGTTGATCTTATACAAGCAGCTTCTTTATGGCAAAACTAATAGGTTTTTAACCTTATAATTTTAGCAGCTGATGGTAATTATTGCTTAGCCCTGTTATTTTGTTACAGTTTGCATAATTATAATACTGTAAATCTATCATTTGTTCATTAGCTGGAATTCTCTAATATCCAGCAGCTGTCCCATGTGAACTATGTGACTATCTGAGCTACAGTTCTTATAAGAAAGACCAAATATGACAATATATGCTTTATTCTCTTTGTCAGCTTTTAGACTGAGGTGGTTCCTTAGCATTTTCTGAAGATGAGCAGTGTTTTTGATCAAAGTGAACTTGGATTTAATGATTAATGATGACTTAATGAAGAGTTACTAATATTTAACTCAGTTTTAAACATCACCTTTTTTTGTATCCTTCAGTCACTGTGTTTTAATACTTTTCTTGAGTTGTCCCTATTTTGACTATTAAGAGGAGCTTCGAAGTTGTTACCTGGGTCCTTTAGACACATATCAGTAGTCTTTGGAGTCCTTAATTTCCATGTTGTAGGTTCATTTTGTGTGTTTCCAGGTCTTACAAAATCCTTTTACTAGGATATGGTATTTAAATGTCAGTAAGTGAGAGTGGGTTGTGATGATGGCACACACCTGCAATCTCAGCACTTGGGAGGCTGAGGCAGCAGTATTGCCATGAGTTCAAGGCTACCCTGGGTTACATAGTTCAAGATCAACCTGAACTAATAGCAAGACCTTGTCTCAAAAAAACAAAAACAAAAACAAAATCAAGAAGTCAAAAAAACCCCCCAAAATACATCATGAATTCATGCTCATATTTATAAATCAAATTTAGGATTACAAGTTTTTTTAGTCAGAGTCCTCCTTTTTGTCATAGTATATATATCTCTCTGCCAAACACCTTCATTCCTAGAGAGTTCTATTTATTTGTTCTGTCAGCCAGTATATCTGGAATAGTTTCAGGATAGTGTCAGTATTAACAATGTAGTGCTTAAAGGTTGACATTATTTTGAATTTTTTTCCCTAGATACTGCAGTACAGTTGTAACAATGAGAGTTCTTGGAAATGGTTCTTGTCATTAAACTGTCAATTTAATATATATTGGAGCTCATTTGCTTCATTTTGGTTTTTAAACAAAATTTCAGTTCTTCTGTTACCGTATTCTTTGGTGGATATGATCTATTTCCGTAATTTTAAAAGGTTTAATTATTTATTTAAGAGCAGTTTCAGTTTCAAAATAAAATTGAGAGGAAAATTCAGAGATTGTCCATATCCACCCCCCAGCCCCCACTGTAAATTGCTTCCTTCACAGGGACATATTTGCTACAGTTGATAAGCCTACATAAATGCATTCTTGTTCCTGAAGCCCATAGTTTACATTAGGTTTGTACAGCATATAGTTTGGACAAATTTATAATAGCATGTCTCTTAGAGTGTTTCAACAGTATTTCTATTGTCCTGGAAATCTTCTGTGCTCTGCCTGTTCATCCCACTCTATCCCTTAATTCCTGGCAGACATTGCTCTTACTGCCTTCATAGCTTTTCAAGAACGTCATATGGTTGGAATCATAAAATAGCCTTTTCAGATTTGCTTCTTTCACTTAGTAGTATGTATGAAAGATTTCCATTTCTTCATGGCTTGAGAACTCATTTCTTTTTTCACTGAATATTTCCTTGTCTAGGCATTACAGTTTATTTGTTCACCTACTGTAGGACATCTTGATTGTTTCCAAGTTTTGACAACTAGTAGTAAAGCTGCTATAGACATCTGTGTACAGGTTTTTGTGTGGACAGACGTGTTCAACTCCTTTGGGTAAATATCAAGAAACATAATATTTGGACCAGATGGCAAGAGTATATTTGCTTTTATAATAAACGCCAAACTGGGCCGTGGATTTAGCTCAGTGGTTTCACTGCCTGCTGTGCAAGCGCAAGGACCCGAGTTCGATCCCCAGTACGGAAAAAAAAAAAAAAGCCAAACTGTTTCAAAAGTGGCTTTACCATTTTGCATTTCCTTCAGCAACAATTAAGTTCCCTTTGCTCTACATCCTTGGCATCTGCTGTGATCACTGTACTGGATTTTGGCCTCTCGCATAAGTAGAGTCTTCAAATGTTCATCTCATTGTTTTAATTTGTATTTCTCTGAAGACATAATATAGAACATCTTTTTGTATGCTCATTTGCTATCTCTGTGTATATTCCCTTTGGGGTAATATCTATTAGGGCCTTTGGACTTTTAAAAAAAAAAATCATGACACTTGTGTTCTTGTTAAGTTTTAAGAATTTATATATTTTGGAGTACAATCCTTTCTCAAATGTATTGCAAATATTTTCTTATGTTCAATGGTTTGTCATCTCATTCTTTTAACAGTGTCACAGGTTAGAAATTTTTAATTTTAATGAAGTTTAGCATTTCAGTTTGGATTGTGACTTTGGTTTTATATCTAAAACCATTTGGTTTGACTTTTGTTACAATGTAACACAGATACATATGTGTATGTGTGTTTATGCGTATGTAATGTGTACCTTTACTGTGACAAATGGTATTAAACTATGTACTGTTCTGCTACTTCTTTCCTTAAGAATATTTTCTATAAGTCTCTCTATAGCAATATATGGATAGATTGCCCATTCCTTTTTTACAATTGAATGATACTTGTGTGGATGTTTAGTAGTTCATTGTGTGAGTTCCCTAGTGATGAACATTTGAGTTGACTTTTTTTTTTAGTTTCATAAATAATGCCATGTATCTTTGGGTTTTTTATCAGAGTATTTTTGGAAGAGGATCCTGACAGTAGGTTTAATTAAACAGTAAATACATACATATATTTCTCTAACATTTATTGTGGTGTTTCAAACATGCAGTAAATTGAAAGACTTGAGTAAACACTTTATACTTGCAATATAGATAATATTGAAACTGCTAGCATGCATTTGCTAGCCATTCTTTCATCCCTGTAATTGTATATTAACCCATCTTATTTTTGTATGCATTTCACTGTAAATTGCAGATACCTATTTCCCCTTAAATATGTCAGTGTACATATCACTAGTGCCTTCTCATAGTTGATTCTTTTTGTTTTGTTTTGTTTTGTTTTTGTTTGTTTTTTTGAGACAGGGCCTCACCATGTAGTTCAGGCTGGCCTTGAACTTGCTGTGATCCTCCCTCCTGAGTGCTGGGATTACAGGTGTGCATCATCACACCTGGCTTCATCGTTGATTCTTGACCTTGAACTTTCATAGGTGACCAATATATGGGTGTATCACTTTTTAAAAACATAATCTATAAGGCATTTTAATTATTTTTTAGTCTTGTGTTGAAATTCTTTTCCTAAGGATTAATATGAAAAAGTGTATTTATGTGTGTCTGTATGTAATTTGAGATATACCACTATTAAAATTACCCTGTTTTTTTAGTCTGAATTTCAGAGACCTGTGACATATTTTTAATGTTTTCTTTTTTTTATTCCTTCCAATTCCACCAGCACCCCTGCCACTTTGGAACAGAACTACATAGTTTGTGAACTGCAGCAAAAATTAAGTGTGCTATATTCCTTTTTGAGAAGCCATTTGAAGAAAAAGAGTATTGTATTTTTCTCCAGTTGCAAAGAGGTACCAACTGTTTATTTCATATTGACATTTAATCATCCAATTTGAGATAACAAATTTCAGTTAGACAAGTAATTACATTATATGAAACTACAGTGTTAGGTGTGGTGAGGGATCTGTTGGTAATGAGAATCTTGTGTTTTTGTTGTGAAAGAATGTGAGAATTTAAGCTCTGTGAGGGCAGAAGGTATCTTCAGTATTATAACAGGTACTAGCAATGCTGGAAATAAAATGGTCTCCAATAAACGGTAGTGAGGCCAAGCAGAGGCTTTCATAATCTGATATCTTCCCTCCCCTACATGAATGTGGAAATGAATATACTCTCTACTGAGCCTCATGTCTTTGTTCGTTCTGATCTCTGTCGGGGATGCCCTCCATGCATTGATTTAGCTAATTATGGGGAAATGTTGGTGCTTTTTAAGGCTAAGCTTGAATGTCACACTTGGAAGTCCTTTTCTGACATTTTTAAAAATCGCTGCCTTCCCTATCCTTCTGCAGTAGCATTTTGTTTATACCTTTATTAGTTCACAAGTGTTTCTTGAACACTAACTAGCTCTGTACTAGGAAAAAGGGATTGAGAGATATATGAGAAAACTTGGTCCTCCTCCTTTAAGGAGATGGGACCATGGTCAAATTACAAATATGTACCACTTTTCCTCTGTATTCCTGATTCCTGATGATATGCATGTATAGTAGATAAATTCTAGACTAATGGCTTTCGCATTAGTTTATCATAAATGTGCAGGTGAGTTTCCTTCCTGTTTGGCAGAAGATAAGTGGTGGTCAGTCTTTTTTGTCTATTCAGCCCTGTCATTTTACTATGTAAAAAATGACTTCAGATCTTTTTTGGACCTATTTTTTAGTTGTTCAAAATCTTCTGTCTACTAAAGACAGGTTGGTTTTAGTATGTAGACCCTAGGAAATCTTTTTCAGAGTTCTGTATAGAGCAGTAGTGGTGAATGTATGGCATGAGTGCTGCGCTGGGCTGCTGTGTCATTGAAAGCTCTAAAAGGTTCACCATCACAAAGTTTAGAGTTTCTACTTTGTAATACTTTGATTTTCTTCTTGCTACAATAGACAAATGTCTTTGCTTGTTATCTGTGATAAACCCTTCTTCTGTGCCCCGCTTCCTGTCCGCCCATCTACACGAAGCCTTTGCTGTTGCAAACACCCTCTTCTGTTTTACATTTTCTCTTCTTATTGTTACTTAATTTTGCCCATATTAAAATAAAAAAAACTTGGTGTCCCTTTCCAATCACTGCTTTTTTATGTTTGTCACAGCAGTCTCTTCTAAAGACTTAGCTCTATTAGCTGAATCACTTTGTCACCTCTGCTTGACCACTGCATTTTGGAGTGCCTCTGCCTTCTCTGCCTTTTTTCCATGCATGATTTCTTTCTAGGCAATCCCATTCGTTTCTTGGCTGTAAATTCCATGTCTGTGTTAAAACTGCCAAATCAGCATCTGAATTGGAGTCCTGACTTCTTTCTCTAGCTCTAGAGTTGTGTATACTTTTGATTTCTGGGTTTTAAAAATCGTGTATCTAAAACGCATCTCACAATTTAACATGTGAAAAACTCCTGGGTTCCAGTCCCTAGGTCTGCTTCGCCTAGCTCTTTCTTATCTCAGTAAATGACTGAATCCTTAATTCCTGTTTGTCTTTATCCCATATTCAAGCTATTGGTATCACTTATTAGCTCTAGAACTTCTCACCACCTCCCATGTTCCCTTGCATTCTGGAGCATGTTTAACTTTTCCTCCTATCCCCTTAATTGGTTTTCCCATTCGCTCACTTTCTTTTCTATAGTTTTCTACTTTATAGTGAATGACTTTGAAAGTGAACACGGGAATGTCATTGCCTTGCTAAAAACCTGTCAATGACTTTCTGTGAATTAGAATTTAAACTTGATACTTGGAACCTCTCTGGCTTTATTCCATATGGCTTCCACCTTAGCCAGTTTGTCAAAGAAGAGGAATTCAAAGTCATTCTTGGTTCAGGAGATGTATACTGAAGAAAGTTTTTATGAACTCAGTTTATACTTGCTGGATTTCCATGTGTATTGGTTCAGAGGTTGACTTGCCTGAGAATACAACTGTGGCCTGCAGGTCCTCCTTTCCCAAGTCCCACTTCATGATGGTCCTTTTTTTATGTTTACAGGAAAAGGACTAAGTCCATTTACTGCTAATCTTATTGTCCTAGAAATGGACCTCTTTGACCTTAGAATATTGCTGTTGAGAAAGTGAATAACTAATAACTTAGTAATAAGTTGTTACATAATTTAGTTGGTTTCCATTCTTTACTTTGAACAGAGTGGGAGAGAGACTTTAATGATGTTCTTAGCTGATATATTATTATAAATAACTCTTTCATCATTATTTTTAGCATGTTTTATAGTTTGAATTGAGACTTCCTTCAAGTCCATTTTCTGTTAATGTGAACAGATCTTAATATGTTAGAAAAAATACAGGTAAAATAATGCTAGACTCTGCCTTAGTCTAGCAGTCCAGAGTATCCATTTAGGAGTACATAAAGAGAAACAACTAAAGCAGTGGTCAGCTCCATCTAATGCTGTACATTATGATTTATTTACAATAAAATTTTATTTATTATTAATTTTATTTAAAGTTATTAAGTACTAATATTTCTTGTTTTGGTCAGTGCTGTTGTAATTATTGTAATAATTGCTCAGTCTGAGAAGAAAATACAGACTTACGGGCCTGAGAAGTTAATGTTAAAAGTATCATTTTGTTGTAATAATTTAGGAATTATAACATGATTAATAAATTGCAAGCTTAAACCCTAAGATACAGTTCTATGGGGGTCAGGAGATTGAAATGAGAGTTACAGGAGGGAAGGAAGTATAATTTTTCTGTTAAAGAAGTTTCTTTTTTACTTGTTTTGAGTGTCAAATATATATGTATTAATCCACTGGACATTTTATTTTGGTACCCGGGATTGAACTCAGGACCTTGTACTTGGCAAGGCAGGCACAAGCACCACTGAGCTAAATCCCCAGCTCCCACTGGACATTTATTTAAAAAGTGTTTATTTAATTAAATTAATTAATTAATTATTTAATTTTTTGTTACTGAGGAGCAAACTCGTGACCTTGTGCTTGTGAGGCAAGCAGCGGCACCACTGAGCTAAATCCCTGGCCTATGTTTATTTTAAAGCATCAATTTTATAGAAATTATATTCTTAAAATTACTCAAATTTGCAAAGATTTTAGATATGAACTTAAAAGTGTAAGACCATTTAAAACATTTCTTTAGGAAATATGTGAGCAAAAAATGTTTTAAGACACAACTTGAATACATTTCTCCTTTTCTACCTCATATGTAAAAGAATTTTAATAGGTGAAATTAAATGTGAATTTTTGTTGTTCATCTTGTTGTTCATCCAGAAGTGCTGAACTCATCGTTTTGTTAATACTTAGGTTCAGTATCTGTACCGTGTGTTCTGCCGGCTTCGTCCTGGTATTTCTATCCTTGCTCTCCATGGCAGACAGCAGCAAATGAGAAGAATGGAAATCTACAATGAATTTGTCCGCAAGAGAGCTGCAGTGCTCTTTGCTACTGATATTGCAGCCAGAGGACTAGGTAAGAAAACTTACTAGAATGAAATTTCTGTGATTCTGAAAGACACAATTCACTTATAAGGTGAGTTTCAGGAAATGTAATAGACTCAAATAATTGGCCATTCTTTTTTTCCTGTTGTGGGATAAATTAGTACAGTGGTGATAGTTGATTAATCTTAAGGATTTGTCAGTGAGACATCCTATAATATTTGCATCTTTTTTGCCCTTTTTATGTTTCATCATAAATTCTTATGAGCCTCCAAATCAGAGGAGGATTAAAGGTTTAAAGATGAGGGAAATTTTTCCTATACCTTTGAAAATTACAAACATGTTTATTGTAACTCATTTAACAAGAAAAATAGTGAATTCTGTCTTTTCACAGTCATCCTACTTTGTATTTTAAAATCGTAACATTTAATATACTTCAATTTTTTTTTCCAAAAACCGATTGTATCACTATTCGATTTGTAGCTTTTTCAGGGTAGGATGAAGATTGAAGTAATTAGAACTAGTATAGAGATACAAACAATAGATGAGAATAAATAGGTGGTAATTTGGATTCTTATATCATTTTGTTTTATTGTGTTATGGAAAATTTTAAACTAACATAACATGAGTAAATCTAATGTACCCTCACACAAACATTACTCCTCTGACATAGTTATTTTTTTTTTTTTTGGTACCAGGGATCGAACTCGGGTCCTTGCACTTGCGCAGCAGGTGGCAAAACCACTGAGCTAAATCCCCGGCCCCATAGTTATCTTTTTATGATTTTCCTTTTCCTGTCTTTGTTACTCTAAAGCATATCTCAGCCAATATATTAGTTCACTAACATATGATTGGACCCAACTATGCATATTTTCAAAGTTCTCGAGGCTTTTTTCTAAGTCCTATGACAACACTTCCCCCTGCAATCCCTATTGCTCATTGACTATATAGTTTTGAAACATTCTGATAGTACTTTTTTCTATTTCTGACTTTGAACCTACAGTAACTCACATTAACAAAACCATGTTTTAAACTGAAGTTTATTCCTTTTAAAATAATTTAAAAATCTCAGACATAACATCTAGTCACAATGGACAGATAATATTTTCCTTGGATTTGTTAAAACAAATATTAACCAATGTAATTTTTTTGTACTCTTTCTCCCCATCATATATATGGAGAATAACTTTTTAGTTGAAGGTTCTTGACTTCTGGCTAGTGAGTCTTATGGTAGAATTTAGCAGGTCTGTGAACTGCTAAATGGGGAGTGGGAAGACATTCTATTTTTTCACCAGCCCTTAACTGAAATTTAGCATTATGAATTTAAGTAACAAATCATTATATTTTCAGTAGTACTTGCGACTTTATCACTAATTGAAATCATGTATTCATTATACCTTAGTTTTTACAGATATCTTGGAAAATTGTTTATACTCAGTACAACTTAGATATGGTTATCAGACCCATAAATAGGTTATGTTAATGTTTTATTTAGCAAGTGTATGTGTTAGTATGTCAAAAACTTAATAAAATCAATATTTTCTATCATAAATTTTCCCTTGTAGTCCTTTGTATTTTACTTTGTGTATGTAAGATATTCTGAGAAGGGGTTCACAAGCTTCAACTGTGGCACAAAAAATGTCAGGAGCTTCTATTTTAGCTTATTAAAAGCACTTCATGAATGTATTCATAAGAATATGTAGTATTTAAGTGTTTAAAAGCTCTTATGAGTTATATCATTGTATATGCTAGCCTGTAACTTGCTCTCAAATCTTTACACATTGATGTATAAACACCCAGCATGTTTGTTATGTAGAAAGTCATGTAGTAATAATTTATCCCATTATTTCCATTTCTGTAAAAATGGACACTTAAGTTTCCAGTTTTTTTTTTTTGTAAAAATGTGCAAGAAATATCCTGAAGAGCTCTCCTTGTGTTATTGTCCAAGATCTTCTTCAGAACACATTGATATCTTTTAGCTTTATTTTATTTCTTAAGAAAATAGGCACATGGGGATACAAATGAGTTACGATGACTAGACCTTTCCTTACCTCTCCTTATTCCCTAGAAATAATTACTTAAAACTACGTATTCTTCTCTGCTGTCTATCTCCATATGTCTGAGGGATCTTACAGTACTTTCTAACCTAGCAAATTTGGAAATTATCCAAAGATTTCCTTTCATTATGTCTCTAACAATCATCCTTTTTTCTCTAAATTACCGGAAGTACTTCTCTTGGAGCAAGATTCATTGGAGATGAGTGAAAATTACTGTACTAGAAATATATAGAGGGTAATTACTACTAAGAGACAGAAAGAAACCTAGAAAGACACCATTCATTCAGTTGGAGGGGGACTACTGGGAAAAAATAAGCCTTCATTTAAATTTTGAAATCAGTTTTATAGTTCACTGGGACCTGGTGGATAGTAGTTCTTTGAGGTTATTAAACATCAGGGTATTTCATTATTTGCCTGACACGAACCAATCTGTCTCTTCTGTGTCATTTATAAAGTAATCTTCACATTCAAACACTCATTAATTTTAGTTCACTTTATCAAAGAAGCATAGTGTTTATCATCTCTTGGCTCATGCAATTAATTTTATTTTTAGTAATGTTCACAGTTGATGTCTGTCAGTTTGATGTGATGGAAAGTCAAGGCAACTATTATTGTAACATAAAAATGATACTGTAGGCCAGATCTTGAAAGTGATTATTTTACTTAATATTCTTTCTATATAGATTTCCCAGCTGTGAATTGGGTTCTTCAGTTTGATTGTCCAGAGGATGCCAACACATATATTCACAGAGCAGGTAGAACTGCCAGGTAGGTGTCTGTCTCCCCCCTGCCTCCCTTTGGTACTGTACTATCTAAATAACAAGACTGTTTCCTCAAATGCAGACAAAGAATGGAGAAACTGAGTAAGTGAGTGCTGGTTTGGTATTTTGCGATGTGGAGTGATAGCAACCTGACAGCTGCTGTAAATTATATGGCCGAGCCTTGATTCCCGTTGAGAAAATTCCATGCCCCTTATTTTAGATTATTTCAAATGAAGCTTTTCAAACTTTTCATCAGAACTGCTTGCTGAACTTAACTGAAGGTTGATGACCTATTTTCAGATGAAGAAATTGAGTCTGAGTAGTTAATATGTTGAAGGATCCAGAACTAGAAGTTTGGACATGGACAGTTTGACTCCTCCAGTCTAGATCTTGTACTCTGACCTTCTGTGGTATAGTCTGTAATAACGAGTAAGGTGGTTTGTAATCTTGGATTTCTTTTTTTTCTTCTGGGGGAATTAAAGGCATCAGTGAGGGCCATTCTGAAATATTTCCTTTTCATGTTCCTCTTCTCCACATCCCCAGTAAAAGCACCCCATAGTTGGTCAGAAACTATAGGGAAACTCTCTGGAAAAGAAGATAGCAAAATCAGTTATTTGGAGCCACATGACATATTAAAGTATTTGAATGCATGAAAACAATCACATGGTATGTCAGTGGTATGGAGGTTGCAGTTAGAGATGTATGCTGCAAATAGAAATGTAAATGATTAAATGTAAATGCTTTCTAAATAGCACTTAGTGGTACTTATCAAAAGCCATAAAATTTCTTTGAGCATTATGAAATAAGAGAGTACAGTAGTAAAAAATTATTTCAACATAATATGAGTTGTGTGTGGTACAGTTGTAATCTCAGTGTCCTGGGAGGCAGAGGCAGGAGATCTTAAGTTCAGTCCAGCCTGAGAAACTTAGCAACTTAGTGAGACCTCATCTTATAATCAAAGAAAGGTCTGGGGATGTAGCTCAGTGCAGAGACTCTGTGTTCAAATCTTAAGTATACATTAGATGGTTCAGAAGTAAGTATTTTAGATTTTCTTTTTCAGACTCACTTTTGAAAATCTCCAGTAAGCATCCCATTTAAAGTTTTGTCATCTAGGGGCTGGGGACTTAGCTTAGTGGCCCTGTTGCCTTCCTTGCAAGTGCAAGGTCCTGAGTTTGATCCCTGGTACTGCAAAAAAAAAAAAAAGTTTTATCATCTTTAAAACTGGAGCAGTATGTAATTTTTAAAATAAACCTGTCAAATGGGTGTGACCTTACTGTTAGAAATAATTTACAAAAACATTGAGTACCTCAAGTCAGCTTGTCTTGAAGAAAGTCAAATATAAATGTTAGAGAAATGTGCATAAAAAATATATTATAAAAAAATTATCTTAAGTAGGAGGGTTCCTCAATTTTATCTTTTAAAAAAATATGGTAAGATATCCAAAACAATATGTAAGGATAAAAATGAAAATGAAGTCCCCTTTTGGCATCTTATCCCCAGTACTACTAGTCCCCAGATGTAACCTCTATTAACAGTTTCTTATGTAATTTTCAGAAAATTTTTATGCATATATAAGCAAATACGTAATCTTTATTTTTAAATAAATGGGATCATATTATATATACTACAAAAAAAAGTAAGTATTTTAGTTCTAGTTAATAATATGATTTTTTTTTTCTTTTTGAGACTGGGTCTTGCTAGGTAGTTCAGGCTGGGCTTGAACTCATGTATTCCAGGCTGGCCTTGAACTTGTGGCCATCCTCCTGCCTCAGCCTCCTGTGTGCTGATATTACAGGTGTGCACCACCATGTCTGGCAATAATACAACATTTTCAATAAGCCATAGAGGTAATATAACCAGCTCCCTCTAGCTCTGGGGTCCTTGTTTTGGTGCAACAAAGACAGCAAACACTAAACAGTGGGGAATGGCCAAATGCCTGTTTTTTAGAATGAAAGAAAAACTCCCCACTATTTGGTGAGGAGTTCCGTAAGGTGGACACTGTAGATGTTTAAGTCCATTGCCTTTTTTTTTGGTACCAGGGATTGAACTCTGGACTTTGTGCTTGTGAGGCAGGCGGCGGCACCACTGAGCTAAATCCCTGGCCCTGTTGGCTTTTTATGTAGTTTTTGGTGCTCCTGTTCATAACAGAAAACAGGTGCAGGTAGGATCCTGGGTGCAGATAGGCCTTTGATGACTGGAAAGCAAGCTGCTTTTCTTTGTATTTCACTTCGTCCAAGGCTTCTCCCTTTTGGTTAGGGACCTGTTCTTTGACCCTTGCATTCTATTAGGCCCTGATAGTCAGTTTGCTTAAGTTAGTTGAGTCCTCTGGTATATTAATTCACTTAAGCCCCAACTTTTGGTTTACTTTAGGTTAACTATTCAGAACCTGTGCCCTATCTGCCTAACTTCCCCTGTCTTCTTGTTTCAGGAGGACTAGGTGTAGTCTAAGTTGTCTTTGTGGATTAAGACAAACTAGCCTTCAGAATTTTATTTTCTTCTAAAAAAAAAAAAAAGGAACATAGTTAGAATAGCAGCCTGTTCCTTCCATTTTGTAAGAAGGTACATGGTGTCTCAGTGGTCTTTAATGTGTTGGGTACATATTTGGATAGTGATGCATAGTGATATCTTCTGAGAATTCATTAGCGGTGGTCAGTGAAATAAATCTCATGTTGTTCTAAGTAAATGTATGGTGTGTATAAACTTGTATACATGCATCTATATTTTGTGTCTTATGAGTCTTTGGTTAGGCTAGGTTGGATATGGTATCTCACATACGTATGGATTACTTACATGCCGTTTACATATGTCATCGGTATGAGTATGAACAAGGCAGACTGATTCCTTCATAGAACACAAGCAATATTTTAAAATTATTTTCCCTGTATAAAGATTATTAGACATTTTGATGTATCAGGAAAATGTCCAAGGGAGGAAATACTGCAGATTTTTTGCTCCTGGAGAAATTATTGTCAATTTAATGTACAGTACTTGAACAGGCTGTGGTGATCATTAAATTGGGTCATAATGTCTGGAGATGAAGAAGAGTTAGAACAATATCATAATGATTGTATCTGAAGAGAGAAGACTAAGTTTAGAAATGTTTTAAAGTAACTTAATGTGATCATTAATGTTTAAAGAAGTCTGCTTCACCCTTTATAACCAAGTATATTATGAATCAATGATTTTAGATGTATAGTCAGTGAAAAGGTAAACATAGAAATGTTTATTTTTAGTTGGGCATGGTGGTGCATGCCTGTAATCCCAGCATTTGGGAGACTGAAGCAGGAGGATCACCGAGAGTTCAGAGGATCCTGTACTACATAGTGAGTTCGAGGCCAGCCTGCACTACATAGCGAGACCCTGTCTCCAAAAAAAAAAAAAAAAAATTAAGAAATGCTTATTTTTTCCTCTGGCAGATTAAAAGTTGCCCTAATGGGTTTACAGATAATTAGAAAGTTTTGTGGGCCATAAAACTGAATAATTGAGTTGAATAAAGGCTAAATTAAAATTTGAAACTAATTAAAATCCTATGTTAGGCTGTAATTAAAACCAGGTTGCCAGATAGTGTTTGCTTTTGAAATTGCATTATAATACATGAGTATAGAAAAATGAATTCATTAGCAAAGTAGTTAAGGTTAGGGGAATCTGGTGTTTAAAAACTTTTTCTGTGTTTTAGTCAAATAAAAATGAAGGATAACACAGAAAATTTTGCCTTCCACTATTTATTCTATTTTACCTTTATTTTAACCTGTCTAGAATTCTTTGGATTTATAGCAGTTGAGACATTTCCCTCTATTTTCCTTAACCACTTAGACGTCTCTTAACAAAATGATCTTTTGATGCAAGAGTAAGAGATACAAATATAGTGCTATAATGCTGGATCCTGTGGTACATCTTGCACTAAACAGTAATTCTCTTTCAGACTTAAAGGTTTTGTTACTCAAAAAAATCAAGCTCTGCAATTGAAAATAGAAAAGATTTGAGAAAGGTACATACACACCAGATATATTTTATTTTGGGAGGAGAGCTGTGGGTATAGGAAGGGAATTGTGTATAATTTTTTTTGTTTCTGGAGCACAGGGAGGTAAGATCGTTTCAGGAATATTTCAGTTTGTTCCTATTTGCCTGGTTATATTTTGTGGCTCTGAGATTGTGTGAGGAATTTAGGTAGCAGAATGTGATTCCACTAGGGGACAGCAGAGGCCAGACCTTTGCATTGCACACTTGCTGGCTGCAAGAGATCTTAACAGCAGTTATTAAGCTGGAAACTAGTTAAAATCCCTAACTTGGGAAGGCTTCATGATTTGTGGAAAGTACTGATTCTTTAAGGAATCAATGAGGATTTTTTTATAGTCTTTAATTGGTTTATAAGTGGAAATAATAGTGAAAAGACAAATTCCATGAGCATTAAGTTACTGTGAATGTCTTATACATAAGATGGGAACAGTATTAGCTGGTGAAATTTCTCATTTCTTAAATTCCTGTAGCTGAGATTTGCTGAATTCCTATCTTCAGTCTATTCCTCCAGAATGGAGGCTGATGCTTCCTTCTGTGGTATTCTGCCTTTGTTGGTTTCTAGAATTTAAAGGCTTAATAAAAGGGCAGAACAGACCCTTTATTTTGTATCCCAAAGCAGTGAGAAGCTGGGGTAGAACATAGCCAGTATAGCTATAGAGGTAGATAAGGGTCTGCCATTTCTTGGAATTCTACCATTTCCCAGGCACTTCCCCACCCTCACTCTCCTACTGTCTACTCAGTACAGCAGGTAGTGATCTTTTAAACTCAGATCTTGTCTGATGGCTTCCCAGTTCACTCAGAGTAACAATGACCTCCAGGCCTATGCCTTCATCCCTCTCCTACTCTCATATCCTGTTCTTCTTCCCTAGTTCCCTAGGCTTCCTACCCTGCTCTTTGTTGTATATCCAGACATCCTTTTGCCTTAGGGCCTTTGTATTAGCTGTTTCTTGGGAATGCTTTTTTCTCAAGTATCTACACAACTGTTTTTCT